TTTAAGTACTTTCGATTCTCGGACTCGTTCTGAAAGCTTCTTACTGAGTCATGTCATCTCTGTCGACATATCAACAGGCAAAAACTAAAGAAACGGAATATTATTATTTGATGCTTATGAGCGGAGATTCACAATCGTAAATCCAAACAAACATCTGTAAGGCTTGTTGTTGCTTCCTTCCAGAATACTCGGACAAAGTTCTTACTAATAGATCGATATTTTAGGCATTATTCTAAATTGTACATTGCTTTATATTTCATACATTTATTTTCGAAAAATTTAAACATCCTCATTCAAAGGAATTGTCTACTAACTATTCACAGTACGTTATATTATAGAGTAAGATATACTACATAATTCATATTTTATATCAATGAACGGAAGAGGCCAAAGATGCTGACATCGTTTAAATTTATTACGTATATTCTTACGTGTTGCGAAATGATAATCTTTTGTTTCATATTTGCGTAGAACATAAAACAGTAAAGTAAGACATGGAGATATTTATCAACTGTAAAAATGATTCTACCTTGTATATTGTTCGTTCAAATATATTAGACTGAGATTTTCGTACAACACAACGTGAGATATATTATACTTACTGTAGTCGTACTTTCTAAGGATGCCGCGTACAATCCACCAATATCCACTGTAAAGGGTTTCGTGCCTCTTTGCAACAAGAAGAGTACCATTTTCTGTATATACAAAGTAGCTGTATACCACCGAGTATTGTATCTATGAAAGGGGACCTTAAATTATCGAAAATTGTAAGTAGATGTAGAATTAATGTTTAACACTTGCACATTCACTTAACAAGTTACAATGAACTGCGGGCGCTTCGCAAAACAAAAATGCTCATACGTAATAGTAAAATTATTATTTTCTTACACAGTTGCGAATATTTGACTATTGTGATCTAAAATTTCTTGCACGAAATAGTTGGATATAAATACATATAGAAGTAGAACAAATACAATTACGACATGTGCAATCAGCTCATCTACACTACCTCCAAATGTTATAATCTGAAAAACCTGAAACCCGCAATAGAGATGAGTTATTTTACATATGTTTGGCTTACATCTATTTCAAAATCGCGAGAAATTAAAGGGCAGAATAAACAAAACATAATATCCGCGCATAAATTATTCTTCATCATTCTTTGTTTTAGTAAAAATTAGTTAATGTAAATCAGCTTAATATGTATGGTAGATGCAGTTACTAATTATTTATTAAAATAAACAAATCACGGTTAATTTTACTAATTCTGAAAATCCGGCCTCTGTTATTTTTGTGATTTTCTAATAATAACATATATCATTATAACATATATTTAACATAATATAGAGCATGTATCTTTTCCGATTTTTTACTTATTTCTTGGATTTGATTATTATAACAGGGCACGAGATATTTAAATAATATATTTGGAAACAAAACAAAACAAAACTTACTTGAAACAGATTGAGACTCAAGCAAATTATAATGCACATCAATATGCAACAAAACAATCCATCGAAAGACGAAAAAAAAAATTTGATTAACCTTTAGAAGCAAGAGTAAACGTTATTACATGTTTGCTACACATACGCGCACGCATATATATACGCATGCACGGATATGCACATCTACTACACGTATTAAAAAATAAATACCGACATCATAGCTTTACGATGAATATCCACAGCATAAATTATTCCATTATAGATTTTAATTTAATTCCTTAAATCAATTGTTCGTGTAATATTAATGTCCATAGCATGCTCGATGCGATAACTGCAATCAATTCAGTTTTCTTAATACAATCTATGAATTTATAAAAAACGATAAAAACGATGTTGTATATTTATATTCCTAATTATATTATATTCTATCCATATCTTTACCTGGCGACTTTAAATATTGCGCAGGTACATTGAATATATACTATGTACATTGTCCCAGTAGCTATTAGCGCAAATGTTCCTAGGCAAAAGACTACGTTCATGTGAAGCAAGATTAAATAAAAGTATTTCTCTTCATCGATAAAGTATTCGGTTATAATGTACGCCGACGCATATGTTTGAGAAACATTTATGAGCAAAAATGTATTTAGGAAGAATGGCAGCCATAGTTGGGCAACAGCAATAAATAGGGCCGATATGCCAAATACTATGGATGATTAAATAAATAGTATAATTATATACAATTTAACGAAATACTGAAATGATAAATATTTTATATTTATTTGCTTTCTTTTCCTCACTACTATCGAATGTTCTTCGAAGAAAAAAGTGTTGCTTTACATTACACATTAAATTATTATTTTATATCACTTACTAAAAAAATATATATATATATATATATATATATATATATATATATATATATATATATATATATATATACATATATATATATAAGTCAAATTAAAAATTTGCAAAGTGGAGCAAACTGATTATTTAATTTTTGTAGCGATTGTAGTGATTAATTCATGTTGCAATCTATGGCAAAGATAACAGATGTCTTACGTGCGAAAATAATCGCGTTACGTTTCGCTTTGTACCCATAACTTTCTATAATAGCGATCTCATTCTCGTCTTTTATTTCATTATAAACATATTGAATATGATCCAATAAATATCTCACCTGTCAATAACACTTTATAGCGTTCTTCATTGTAAAATTTGAAAAAGGATTACATAAAATAGATAAACATTTACATAAAAATTTAAATATTTCTGATATGCAATTAAGCGTATTTATATAAATAGTTCTGTAAAAAGGCTAATGATTAAACTAGTCAGTGAAATAAACTTACAGTTTGCTTGTTAATCCAGAACGAGTGATAATTCATTACGTATAGACAGAAATATAAAATTGTAGAAAAAATTTTCATGACGACATCCGAAGTGCATTCTATAGTTAAGAAAGGTGTTAACTGTAAACAGCGAACATATTAAAATTATAACACTATAGAATCTATATTA